GGTCTCCAAACTACGGCCCTCCAGATGTTGAGGAACAGCAAGTCCCATGACCCCTTGCAAGACTGACAGCCACAGGCAAGACTCCCAGAGGCATGATGGGACTTGTAGTACTTCAACAGCTGGAGGGCCATAGTTTGGCGACCCCTGTTCTAGTGGGCTCCACCCGCTTTCCCTCTCTTCACCTTGCCAAGGCCATTATCCTCCTGCACTCCCCATTCCTACTGGCCCCCTTTATGATACCGATTTAGGCGATGTGGTTTTATACAGATGGCTAAGCTATTGTATACACGATTCTCTTCTGGCAAAGTTCCCATATCCTACATTCGCCTTGAATATTTCTTTTCTGCCCATGTTATGTTCCAATGTACGACTTGCTCACGTCTGTTGGAACGTTTGAAAACCAATAAAAATCTTCAGCTCCATTATATGTCCTTCATTTGTGTATTTTACGCTTTGCCTGGACTTCAGCTTTACAAGCTCCAGGAAGTATTGATCTTCAATGGCGTTTGTGTGACAGAAAGTTGACTTTAGTCTTTGAACCTCAGCAGTAACCTGTGCAGATTGTACTGATCGGTATTTGGTTGTCATAGAAATGTGAGATAAGGACACAAAACATTTCCTGGAGGTGATAAAGACGACAGAAGGTGTCAACGGAGTGCCCCCACCATTCCACAGATGAACCCTCCAGATGACTCAGGTCAGGTATTTATTGGTTCCTTCATGAAAGTCGGCGGAATTTGAGGACTGTTTAACTATGGGACCGGGCCTTCTGCAACAAGGTGGAGGGTGGGGAAGTGTAAATGTTTTCAGAAATACCGGCCTACAGAATGGAAATATTCCCCTCTTCTATGATAAGTGACGGCAGTACTGGGTTAGGATCAATTAGGAAAAATGAATGCCACCCTTCGAAATGCTGGAGCAATGCTGCCAGATGATACAACCCCAGGATAGGGACCGTCAGCCCGACACCCCACATCTCAGGAGAGATACAATGTTTCAGGCTTGATTTGGGGGGATTTATTGTGCCACAGAAGAGTATAGGGACCACCAGTCCCCCCCCTCCTCCCAGGAGAGATACAATGTTTCATGCTTGATTTGGGGGGGATTTATTGTGCCATAATGGAGTATATGGACCACCAGTCCCCCCTCCTCCCAGGAGAGATACGTTTCATACTTGATTTGGGGGGGGGATTTATTGTGCCACAGAGGAGTATAGGGACCACCAGTCCCCTCTCCTTCTAGGAGAGATACAATGTTTGGAGTCTGAATGATTTATAGTCCATAGAGAAGAATAAGGACTTTACGCCCCCCCCCCCCCCATCCTCCCAGGAGAGATCCAATGTTTGATTGGGGGAGATTTCTTGTCCTATAAGGCCTAGCTCACACTAGTGCGATTTCAGTCACACAAAACATAAAAATGGAAATCACATTGTTTTCAATGGTGCCCATTCACCTCAAGGCAACTCAGCATGGAGCAATTTTGGAAGAGGGCACCACTTTGGTGCCAATCCAGCTTGATTTTGGCCCCACAGAATATGCAAATCGCATCCAAAGTGCAACCAAGTCACACTACACAAAATTGGATTGCAGAGGTGTGAACCGAGCCTAAGAGTATAGGGACCACCAGCCTAACCTCCTCCCAAGAAAGATACGCTACTATATTGCCCCAAGTATTGGGTCTCCTGCCTTTCCATGCACATGGACTTTAATGGCCCCCCAGTCTTAGTCCGTAGGGTTCAATATTGAGTTGGCCCCACCCTTTCCCCACACATGACCTTTAATGGCCCCCCCAGTCTTAGTCCGTAGGGTTCAATATTGAGTTGGCCCCGCCCTTTCCACACACATGACCTTTAATGGCCCCCCCAGTCTTAGTCCGTAGGGTTCAATATTGAGTTGGCCCCGCCCTTTCCACACACATGACCTTTAATGGCCCCCCAGTCTTAGTCCGTAGGGTTCAATATTGAGTTGGCCCCGCCCTTTCCACACACATGACCTTTAATGGCCCCCCAGTCTTAGTCCGTGGGGTTCAATATTGAGTTGGCCCCGCCCTTTGCAGCTATAACAGCTTCAACTCTTCTGGGAAGGCCCCCCACAAGGTTTAGGAGGGTGTCTATGGGAAGGTTGGACCATTCTTCCAGAAGCACATTTGTCAGGTCAGGCACTGATGTCGGGGGAGGAGGCCTGGCTCGCAGTCTCCGCTCCAATTCATCCCAAAGGTGTTCTATGGGGTTGAGGTCAGGACTCTGTGCAGGACAGTCAAGTTCCTCCACCCCAAACTGGCTCCTCCATGTCTTTATGGACCTTGCTTTGTGCACTGGGGGGCAGTCATGTTGGAACAGGAAGGGGCCCCCCAAACTCCTCCCACAAAGTTGGGAGCATGAAATTGTCCAAAATGTCACCTTAAGAGTTCCCTTCACTGGAACTAGGGGGCCAAGCCCAACCCCTGAAAAACACCCCCACACTATAATCCCCCCTCCACCAAACTTTACACTTGGCACAATGTAGTTAGGCAAGTACCGTTCTCCTGGCAACCGCCAAACCCAGACACGTCCATCAGATTGCCAGACAGAGAAGCGTGATTGGTCCCTCCAGAGAACACGCCTCCACTGCTCTAGAGTCCAGTGGTGGCGTGCTTTACACCACGACATCCGACGCTTTGCATTGCACTTGGTGATGGAAGGCTTGGATGCAGCTGCTCGGCCATGGAAACCCATTCCATGAAGCTCTCTATGCACTGTTGTTGGGCTCATCTGAAGACCACACCAAGTTTGGAGGTCTTTAGCTATTGACTCTGCAGACAGTTGGCGACTTCTGCGCACTGTGCGCTTCAGCATGCGCTGACCCCGCCCTGTCATGTGATGTGGCCTACCACTTGGTGTCTGAGTGGCTGTTGTTCCCAGTTGCTTCCACTTTGTTATAATCCCACTAACAGTTGAGTGTGGAATATTTAGTAGCCAGATGGACTTATTGCCCAGGTGGCCACCTATCACGGGACCACGCTTGGAGTCACTGAGCTCCTGAGAGCGACCCATTCTTTCACCAATGTTTGTAGAAGCCGTCTGCATGTCTAGGGGATGGATTGTATACACCTGTGTCCATGGAGGGGATTGGAACACCTGAATCACATGATTGGGAGGGGATTGGAACACCTGAATCACACGATTGGGAGGGGATTGGAACACCTGAATCACATGATATGGAGGGGATTGGAACACCTGAATCACATGATATGGAGGGGATTGGAACACCTGAATCACATGATATGGAGGGGATTGGAACACCTGAATCACATGATATGGAGGGGATTGGAACACCTGAATCACATGATATGGAGGGGATTGGAACACCTGAATCACATGATATGGAGGGGATTGGAACACCTGAATCACATGATATGGAGGGGATTGCAGCACCTAAATCACATGATTGGGAGGGGATTGGAAGACCTGAATCACATGATTGGGAGGGGATTGGAAGACCTGAAGCACATGATTGGAGGGGATTGGAACACCTGAATCACATGATTGGGAGGGGATTGGAAGACCTGAATCACATGATTGGGAGGGGATTGGAAGACCTGAATCACATGATTGGGAGGGGATTGGAAGACCTGAATCACATGATTGGGAGGGCGGGGACAATACAGTACTTTTGGCAATATAGTGTATAATGTTTCAAGCTTTATTGGGGAGGGGGGATGGGGGTTGTCCCACAGAGGTTAAGCCCCCCTCCTCACAGGAAAGATACAATGTTTCAAGCTTGATTCAGGGAGGTTTACTGTCCCATAGGAGGAGGGTATGTAGGGGTTGTCAGCCCCCTCCTTCCAGGGAAGATACAATGTTTCAAAATGGATTTTGGGAGGATTCTCTTCCAGATATGTTCACAATATAGAATTCCTATCTATCGGAACTATTGATTGGGAATGCAAATAGAAGTATTATTGATCAGATATCAGGATTGAGGCCACCATATCATTTCTATAAGGTTTACCCTTCCAAGTTTCTAAGGTTTGTGGGTTCAAAATTTCAACTTTCACATACATGATTGTAAAGGCTGAAGGTGCATTCTATGCATGAAAGTAAAAAAAAAAAACCTTCAGTGTGCAGCCCCCTTCCCCCCTCAAATACCTGAGCCCCATCGAGATCCAGCGATATGCACAAGAGCCTCAGCTTTCCCGGGACTCTCCCTCCTCATTGGCTGAGACCAAGCAGCAGGAGCCATTGGCTCTTGCTACTGTCAATCACAGTCAGTGAGCCAATGAGGAGAGAGCAGGGGGCAGGGTCGAGCTGAAACTGCGTGTGAATGGACATACAGAGCAATGGGAGCGAGCCTGCTCAGGTGCCCCCATAGCAAGCTGCTTGCTCTGGGGGCATTCCGCAGGAGTGAGGGGCCAGAAGCAACGGTGCGGGGCCCGAGAAGAGGAGGATTGGGGCTGCCCTGTGCAAAACTATTACAGAGCAGGTAAGTATGAAATGCTTTTTTTTAATTCTGCTTTTACAACCATTTTAAGCTTGGCCGCCGTGTTCTGTCATCACTGGGGTTCACACAGTGCGATGGCCAGCTTGGCCGCCGTGTTCTGTCATCACTGGGGTTCACACAGTGCGATGGCCAGCTTGGCTGCCATGTTCTGTCATCAGTGGGGTTCACGCAGTGCGATGGCCAGCTTAGCCGCCCTGTTCTGTCATTACTGCGGTTCACACAGTGCGATGGCCAGCTTGGCTGCCATGTTCTGTCATCACCACAGTTCACGCTGTGCGATGGCCAGCTTGGCCGTTGTGTTCCGTCATCAATGCAGTTCACACAATGCAATGGTTAGCGTGGCCACCATGTTCTATTAGCACCGTGGTTCAACAGTGTGATGGCCAGCTTGGCCATCATGTCCTGTCATCACCACGGGTCACAGTGCGATGGCCAACTTGGCCACCATGTTCTGTCATCTCAACGGTTAACAGTGCAATGGCCAGCTTGGCCGCCATGTTCTGTCATCACTGCGGGCTTACCTCTGTGCGTGGCAGGTAATCTGGGTCCGCCTGTATCCGCGCTATGACCTCACACAAGATGATTCCGTACGAGAAGATGTCAGCCTGAAGGGGAGAGCAGAAATTACTAAAAATAACCAAATAATTCTCTGACCTCCTTTAATGCAATGCTGAGGCAGATAGTATGCAAACTTGGGGCCCGACACCCTCAAAGTGTGCGTCTTTCCCTGCGTTTCTTCATACAGACACAGCACAGCTCATACAACACTACATGTGGAAGGCGGGATTTTCCTGGCTCAGTCTTCTGCAGCCGTAACAATAAGTGTAGTCACATGGTCACTGAATTACTATGGAAAACACCAACAAATAGTCATTTTTCATGCTGAGGTTTAATCTGCTTAAATGATGTTCCCCCCCCCCCCCCCCCCCCCCCCCCCCCCCCCCCCCCAACATGCTAGTGAAACTTTCCTTCATTACATACTGCACCTTTAGTCTCATTGATGTCATCACTGGGCCTCTGTGCTTCTCCATGCAAATGCAGAGATTGTGGCTGGTGGGAGGTGCTGTACAGAGCTTCCAAAAAAAAAAAAAAAAAAAAAAATCCCAGCACCCTGTCTCAGTACTCCTCAAGTGCCCTCAGTCCTGATGCAAGCAGCGGGCTGGCTTTTGTTGTGCAAATATCAAAATGCCTTTATGGGCAGGTGTCAGTCTGGAGGAGTGGGTGTTCCCAAGGACATGCGGCCTGCCCTAGGTAACGCCCACATGTGATGCGGAGGTTCTGATAAAAGGAAAGGGGGAGGGGCCAGAGATGGTCAGACTGGGGAGGAAAGCGCTAGATGATGCTGGACGTCCTCCAGCCAGGAAATGAGGCGGAGCTCTGACTTGCTAGAGCAAATCTGGAAAAAACAGATTGGTACTTGTAATGCTGCCACCACACAGTGTCTACACAGAGCAGCATGCTCCGGCTTCCCCAAAGTTTGGAAGAGTTTAACCCCTTCGTGCCGATTGTGCGGCATATCGGCGGCTGGGCGCTGACGCTGAGCGGTGGTATATTTGTGTATCATTTGTAAACATACGTGCTGAGAGTGCGTGTCCTGCGTGCTCCTAGCACGTGTCGGTGTCCCATGTAAAGGTCCTGATCGCAAGGTTTTTACGATCATGTGACCACCGTGACAGCCAACCACATGACCCTAAACCCCGCCCCCCGGAGTCAGAAACCATAAAGGGCCAGGAGGCGCCGGAGCGATGGAAGGAGAAGATCATCTTTTGAAAAAAATAATCAAAAAATGCAAATCTTTTTGCAGATAAAAAAAAAAAAAAAGCGCATTTGTTTTTTTTTTTTTCCCCCCCAAGGAACCTGCAGAGCATTGCACTCCTGATCGGCACATTGTGGGTGCAATCTCAGGCTCCTGCAAGTACCTCGTACGGACAGGCAGTTACGTGAGGAAGAATCCGTGGACTACGAGAGAGCTCACTAGCACCCCCCCCCCCCCCCCCCATTCACTGAAAACTACAAGCCGTCAGCTGCAATGGCTGATGGTACTTTTAGTCCATTGACAGGAAGCTGCGAATGAATGATGCGGCGGAGCCATGCACAGCTGCGTTGTTTTTCAAAACTGTGACAGTCGGGAGAAGATCCCTCGCCGGTTTCATTCCACTAAATATAACAACAAAAGAGTCTTACTGTGGGTTTTCTTAACCACTTCCCGTCCGGCCATTGTATATAAACGGCCAGACAGTGGCAGTGCAGGGTCAGGTGGCTGTTTATAAACGGCCTCCCCTTACCCTACTTGTGCGCGCTCCCTGGGAGCACGCAGCACCGCGATCCGGTGCCCGCTGTGTTCTCCGTACACAGTGGAATACAGATCATCAGACGGGACCTCTGTGCGAGGTCCTGATCATGTGATCATTGATTGGCCAATCAGTGATCACATGCAGAGTAGTAAGCAAGATGTCACTTCATTGCTTACTACGTGTGAAATCTGTGAATGATCACAGAGATCACATGGTACAGGGCTATTCACAACAGCCTTGTACCATGTGACAAGCTGTGACCAATCACAGCTCACACAGTATTTCTCAATGGCTGCAGGAATGCAGCCAGAGAGAAGGAGAAATGATTCCTCTTCCAGCCTTTATGGGTGTAAAAGCAATCAGTGTAAAAAAAAAAAAAAATCTTCACCCCCACAAGGAGTACAGTGTTACCATGGTGACCCCACACTGCTAGGGTGACAGTATGTTATTTTTGGTTATAAAATAATTTGGGGTTTTTTTTTTTTACTAAAAAGATAAATTTTGGCCAAGATTTATGATGAAATATTAATTAGCAAATTTTTTTAAGAAAAAACTTTTTTTCAAAATCTTTGGACATTTTCATTTACATAGCAAAAAAAATAAAAATCCCAGCGGTGAATAAATACCACCAAAATAAAGTTTTATCTGTTCCAAAAAAATGCTAAAAAATTCATATGGGTACAGTGTTGCATGACCGCGCAATTGTCATTCAAAGTGAGATAGCTTGTGTCTGGACTGGAAGGGGGGGGGGGGGGGTTAGTGGTTAAGAAAGCAGATACAGCCTAAGTAGAAAAGCCCGTCCTCTGCCAGCATACTGCAGAGGTCCCATACTCCCTGTGTGGAAGCAGAGGTCCCTCTGCAGAGATCTGACGAGCCCGCTGTTGAATTAGATCATAATCTCTCCAATCAGCAGGGAGCGGGAGCTTTGCCGATTGGGGAGCTCTACCTCTGACTCAGCAGGGGGCATGTCGGATCTCTGCGGAGAGACTGCTGCTTCTACACGCAAGACCCCCTTCTCTGTAGCATGCTGGCATGAAAATGAATGGCAGGACTTTGCGCACCTTTCATTTTGGGCCAAAAAAGGTGGATAATGGCTGCCGCAAAACATTTTTACCCGCAATTCTACCATATTTTGGGTGCGTTTTTCATAAGTCATGCGTTGTCATGTGTTGCGTTTTTGATGCGATTTTACTGCAGTTTCAAAGCATTTCAAATGCAGTTTTCATTTTGTCCGTTTTGCAGTGCATTTGGCGGTTTTACATGCGCACATTTTTTGATGCTTTTTTTGGCCAACTTGTCGTTGGGCAGATTAAAAATGCAAAATGCATCAACATGTCAAAAATGCACTACATGCGGTTTCTGCAGCGTCTCCATGGAAGTCTATTGAACCAAAAACACAGTGTTTTGCGATTACAAAAAAGTCCCCGACCCTTTCCAAAAATGCAGCAGCTGAAAAAAAAAAAACTAAAAGAAAAAAGAAAAAAAAAAAGAAAAAAAAGGGGTTAATGCGTGTGAAAACTCGTTTGCACAAAGGTCAATGAATGCATTCCAAGGTGGCAGTTCAGGGTTCAGGTTCACGATTGTTGTCGCGGGACAAGAATGCGGCGCAGCCTAATCGTACAGAAGATTCCCTTCCTGACCAAGGATCCCATAGCGGTTGTATGTGCGTTTCCATGTCAGGAGACAACCGACGTCACGCACTAATGTGCAGGTACCCAGCTTCCTCCATAGTCCACCTGCCAATTATGCCAATCAGGAGTCCTATGACACACACGGCCCGTACGCCTAACCCGTCATTTCATCTGGCTGAACACAAACCTGATCATTTCACCGTACCAGCCAAAGCCGGCCTGTACCCCCATCCCCCCATGGCCTGTACTGACCGGAGTAAGGCCCACCAATAACAATGCGGACTGTTGTAGAATCAGACTACGTGAAGCGTGGACCAGAAGAACGTTGGTGATGGTGTGAGAAGCAGAAGACGGAGGAGTTGTCAGACAAGAAGGACATTGGGGACCGTGTGAGAAGCAGAAGACGGAGGAGTTGTCGGACCAGAACGACGTTGATGACCGTGTGAGAAGCAGAGGAAAGAGGAGTTGTCGGACCAGAAGGACGTTGGTGATGGTGTGAGAAGCAGAAGACGGAGAAGTTGTCAGACTAGAAGGATGTTGGTGACCGTGTGAGAAGCAGAAGACGGAGGAGTTGTCGGACCAGAAGGACGTTGGTGATGGTGTGAGAAGTAGAAGACGGAGAAGTTGTCAGACTAGAAGGATGTTGGTGACCGTGTGAGAAGCAGAAGACGGAGGAGTTGTCGGACCAGAAGGACGTTGGTGATGGTGTGAGAAGTAGAAGACGGAGGAGTTGCTGGACCAGAAGGACGTTGGTGACCGTGTGAGAAGCAGAAGACGGAGAAGTTGTCGGACCAGAAGGACGTTGGAGACAGTGTGAGAAGCAGAGGACGGAGGAGTTGTCGGACCAGAAGGACGTTGATGACCGTGTGAGAAGCAGAAGACGGAGGAGTTGTCGGACCAGAACGACGTTGATGACCGTGTGAGAAGCAGAGGAAAGAGGAGTTGTCGGACCAGAAGGACGTTGGTGATGGTGTGAGAAGTAGAAGACGGAGGAGTTGTTGGACCAGAAGGATGTTGGTGACCGTGTGAGAAGCAGAAGACGGAGAAGTTGTCAGACTAGAAGGATGTTGGTGACCATGTGAGAAGCAGAAGACGGAGGAGTTGTCGGACCAGAAGGACGTTGGTGATGGTGTGAGAAGTAGAAGACGGAGGAGTTGCTGGACCAGAAGGACGTTGGTGACCGTGTGAGAAGCAGAAGACGGAGAAGTTGTCGGACCAGAAGTATATTGGTGATGGTGTGAGAAGCAGAAGACGGAGAAGTTGTCGGACCAGAAGTATATTGGTGATGGTGTGAGAAGCAGAAGACGGAGGAGTTGTTGGACCAGAAGGACGTTGGTGATCATGTGAGAAGCAGAGGACGGAGGAGTTGTCGGACCTGAAGGACGTTGGTGACCGTGTGAGAAGCAGAAGACGGAGGAGTTGTCGGACCAGAAGGACGTTGGTGATCGTGTGAGAAGCAGAAGACGCAGGAGTTGTCGGACCAGAAGGACGTTGGTGATCGTGTGAGAAGCAGAGGAAAGAGGAGTTGTCGGACCAGAAGGACGTTGGTGATCATGTGAGAAGCAGAAGACGGAGGAGTTGCTGGACCAGAAGGACGTTGGTGATCGTGTGAGAAGCAGAAGACAGAGGAGTTGTCGGACCTGAAGGACATTGGTGATGGTGTGAGAAGCAGAAGACGGAGGAGTTGCTGGACCAGAAGGATGTTGGTGATCGTGTGAGAAGCAGAAGACGGAGGAGTTGTCGGACCTGAAGGACATTGGTGATGGTGTGAGAAGCAGAGGACGGAGGAGTTGCTGGACCAGAATGAAGTTGATGACCATGTGAGAAGCAGCAGATGGAGGAGTTGTCGGCCGTTTGTTGGCACAGCCGAGCTGGTCTCCTGAGTCAGGCGATAACTATCTGCGTCTTTTTCTAGAAGTCGATGTTCCGTTTGATGCACAAGCCGTGTTTGTTCGTCTGCGCAGGAATTTCATGCATTTTCTTTGAACACAGGGAGAGCTATTGACAGAGTGGATAGGATTGTGTACATAATTCTGTGGAACGCCTACACGCCCGTCACACTCCGCAGGGTGTAGTAGGTGACAAGCAGCGCGGCTCCTTCAGCCTGCAGTGTAGTTGGATCAAAATGGTCAGAACATTGCTAGAACTGGTTCTGTATTAGAGCCTGTCCTGTGTACAACACAAAGGGGCGTTCACTGCATTGTGACCCACAGAATGGAGACCACTTATTGTCCTCTGTATGACTGAACCTGCCATGTGCCCATGTAATGCCTGAACTCAGCTGTGTCCTCTGTATGACTACACCTGCCGTGTGACCGCACAATGCACAGGGCCTGCAGCAATCTCAAGGTACAATTCTGGTCGTGCTTAGTTGGAACCCGCGCGCAGACTATTCACACAACAAAACAAAAAAGAAAAGCACACATTCTTAACAAGCAGTAAAAGCGCTTCAGAACAAGCTCTAATTCCCCTCTGTAGCTATAGGCGCTATGGAGAAATGTGCCTTCAATTTTCACAACAGAAGTGTGAAAAACTCTGCTCTTTTCCTATTGGCAGTCCGTCAGGCCTCTCATGTAAACCCCCAGCGGGCCACCAGCCTTCTAATGTAGACACACAGCAGCCTGCCAGCCCTGCAGCCGAGGTTCACACATACGCAATGCAGGAAACACAGCAAATCCTGGGCGCTCCCCACACTGCACTGAAATCGCACTCTATTCAGGCGATCTGCTGCGGGTGTCAATGTTAAATTAACACCCCAAAACAGCTAGCAAAACGCAGTGCGATTTCCTGAATCGTAGCACACGGGTGTGAAAAGTCATGTGATCAGATTAAGATCGGGGGTGAAAAAAAAAAAAAAAAAGGTACTGCACCATTTTTGTGTGGATTCAATGCAATGCTATTTGAGCCATACAAAATGAATGGCTCAAAATCGCAATGCACAGAGATCTGCAATTTGCACAGGTGCAATTCCTGTGCAATTCACATGCAGTGTCCCACATGTGAACCCATAGTGAATGCGGGGTCCGGGGAGTGCGGCTACCGTGAAGGCGGGGTCCGGGGAGGAGAACGCGGGGTCCGGGGAGAGCGGATATAGTGAATGCGGGGTCCGGGGAGAGCGGCTACCGTGAATGCGGGGTCCGGGGAGGAGAACACGGGGTCCGGGGAGAGCGGATATAGTGAATGCGGGGTCCGGGGAGAGCGGCTACCGTGAACGCGGGGTCCGGGGAGGAGAACGCGGGGTCCGGGAAGAGCGGATATAGGGAATGCGGGGTCCGGGGGGAGAGGATATAGTGAATGCGGGGTCTGGGGGGGATTACAGGGAATGCGAGGTCCGGGGAGAGCGGATATAGGGAATGCGGGGTCCGGGGACAGCGGATATAGGGAACGCGGGGTCCGGGGAGAGCGGATATAGGGAACGCGGGGTCCGGGGAGAGCGGATATAGCGAACGCGGGGTCCGGGGAGAGCGGATATAGCGAATGCGGGGTCCGGGGAGAGCGGATATAGCGAATGCGGGGTCCGGGGAGAGCGGATATAGGGAATGCGGGGTCCGGGGAGAGCGGATATAGGGAATGCGGGGTCCCGGGAGAGCGGATATAGCGAATGCGGGGTCCGGGGAGAGCGGATATAGCGAATGCGGGGTCCGGGGAGAGCGGATATAGCGAATGCGGGGTCCGGGGAGAGCGGATATAGTGAATGCGGGGTCCGGGGAGAGCGGATATAGCGAATGCGGGGTCCGGGGAGAGCGGATATAGCGAATGCGGGGTCCGGGGGAGAGCGGATATAGCGAATGTGGGGTCCGGGGAGAGTGTGCACACTCAAGACCCGGAAGCAGGAAGTGACATAGGTATGTTGCTTTGCGTACAGCGTCCGCCCGCTCCTCCCCAGCACAGCGCCCGTCCGCTCGTCCCCAGCACAGCGCCCGTCCCCAGCACAGCGCCCGTCCGCCCGTCCCCAGCACAGCGCCCGTCCCCAGCACAGCGCCCGTCTGCTCGTCCCCAGCACAGCGCCCGTCCGCTCGTCCCCAGCACAGCGCCCGTCCGCTCGTCCCCAGCACAGCGCCCGTCCGCAGTACACAGTGGGCGGGCGGTTGCCAAGTGGTTAAAATGCACATTTTAGATCCAAAAATTGCTGAAAGCTCCCCAAAAATTATATACTTGACTCTTATGCGTACCAAACACTTTTCCCTGAACACAGGACCTATAGCTGGGGTGCTCATCCTGTGACCCTCCAGCTGTTGCAGAACTACAAGTCCCATGAGGAATTGCAAGCTGCGGAGCACAACTCCCAAAGACAGAGGCAAGCTGGGACTTGTAGTTCTGCAATAGCTGGAGAGCCGCAAGTTGACCTACAGGGTGTCCTCCATCCAACGACTTCATAGACACCGGCTTGCTGCTTCTTTGGAGGAGTGCCCGAGGCATGCCGGGTGACTGTGTATGGGAGCCCCCCCAAGTCTCTATCCCCCCCCAACCAAGTCTCTATCCGGAGCTCCACATCACCTTGTCTGATCCTATAATCTGTGTGATGATATCAGGATGCCGATCTACAGACCTCGGCACTCCTGTGAATGAGGACTAAATGGTGTATTAATGAGTATGGAGCTGCCTTATATTATATCTTGTAATTCTAAGAGTTCTGATTAACAAAATATAAAACTAAAAACAAAAAAACCTAAAAAAAACAAAAACAAAAAAAAGAACACACCTAAAAAAATCCCCACAAAAAAACCTAAGAACAAAAAAACCCCAAAAAAAACGAAAAACAAAAACAGAAAAAAAACCCAACAAACCTAAAAACAAAAAACCTAAAATCGACATTCTATCCCTTCCCCATACCATCCATACATGAGCTGTGCAGACAACAGAGCTGTGGGAGGAGCCCAGCAGGCTCCACCCACTATAGGGTCTCACCAGAACTAGTCCCCATTGGAGGATTTCTCCTCTTCCTGTTCTGGAGGTAACCCAAAATTTGGGATTTTCTTTTACTGTCACTGACAATGGTCACCAGGACAAAGAGGGGGAATCTCCCTAATGGGGACACACAGTAATACAACCAATGGGGGGACCCACCTTCTCATTGTAGGGTTCATCTCGGAGGACCTCTGGAGCCATCCAGTATGGAGACCCCACCACCGCCAACTTCTCAGAGCCGTCGCTGGAAGACACAAAGAACAAAGACGGGTCACACTGCGGGGCCACAAACGTGTCCTCATCCTGACCATTCACACCGGAACCTACCGAGCCGATTGGTGAAGCTGCAGCTCAGCTAGTGACATGTGACATCACGGCCAATGTGTTCCCTAGTTTAAGCCCCGCCCTCTCAAAGCCCACTGTAGCCCCACCCAAATTTTACAATCACTTTAAAAAGCCATCCTTCGACTCCAGTCAGTGACTTTGCCCTGTGAAGACCAGAAGCTCAGGGAAGCAGCACTGAGAGAGCCGGGAGCCAGCAGCATTGAAAGGTGTAAAGTGAAAATAATCATTTTACCAAATGAATTACTGGGGAAGTTTATTTCATTGCGCTGAATGTGATGAAGACGGGTGGGGGAGGGGCACTATAACCAAAAGCTGTGCATCTCCTGTAACTCTCAGACCGCCACAGCTGCTGCAGAACCTCCCTGGAACCCGAACGTGTGGCTCCGTCAGTGTGCGGCGTCGCGCGGCTCCGTCAGTGTGCGGCGTCGCGCGGCTCCGTCAGTGTGCGGCGTCATGCAGATCAGCAGTGTAGTCCGCAGTGAGCTTTCTCCAGCTGCGATGGCTGAACCGCGGATATCTGGGCCGCTAGTGATCTCAGATGCAGCGCTGACCACGGCTTCCTGTGACCACAATCTGTCTGTCGGCAGAACCTCTCCACACGCCTGTCAGATGAAACGTCAGACATCTCCGCTGAAAAACACACCCGAGCTTTTACATGGTAAAGTCGTTTTTCAATTTTGGGCGGGTGACAGCGGGCAGGATCATTCCGGGCAGAGTGTTCCTGAACCACAACAGTGACACCAGTCTGTAGATGCAGCAAAGCATGCTGGTTATACTCACTGTGGAACCTAAGGGGTTAATCCTCTGCATTGTGTAAAGAGGCTGTTTGATCCTGTCTTTTCTGATCCTCCCCTTCTTCCAGTGCCCTCCCCCCATTACCTCCTGATAAGACAGTGTTGAGACACTGCACATGCTCAGTTTAGTATGTAGTGCTAGAGGTTTTTTTTTGTTTTTTTTATTGGGAGGGTGCATGTAATCATCACTGGGCCAATCAGCACTGTCCAGACAGAGGTCAGGGGTTCTGCATCCTCCTAGAGCAGAAAGAAAACTCCTCTACAACCTTAACCAGTGCTCTGCATTTCCATGTTCTGTGTACTGCAGGAGACCAGATACAGTGAACGAGGGATCCGGGGAGACCAGATACAGTGAATGCGGGGTCGCTCTCCCCGGACCCCGCCTTCGCTCCATCCGCTCTCCCCGGTCCCCGCCTTCGCTCCATCCACTCTCCCCGGACCCTGCATTCACTATATCTGGAGGGGAGGAGCCGCCACCCCTGTGCAAGCCCGGAGGGGAGGAGCCGCCACCCCTGTGCAAGCCCCGCCACCCCTGTGCAAGCCCCGCCACCCCTGTGCAAGCCCCGAGGGGAGGAGCCGCCACCCCTGTGCAAGCCCCGAGGGGAGGAGCCGCCACCCCTGTGCAAGCCCCGCCACCCCTGTGCAAGCCCCGCCACCCCTGTGCAAGCCCCAAGGGGAGGAGCCGCCACACCTGTGCAAGCCCCGCCACCCCTGTGCAAGCCCGGAGGGGAGGAGCCGCCACCCCTGTGCAAGCCCGGAGGGGAGGAGCCGACACCCCTGTGCAAGCCCGGAGGGGAGGAGCCGACACCCCTGTGCAAGCCCGGAGGGGAGGAGCCGACACCCCTGTGCAAGCCCGGAGGGGAGGAGCCGACACCCCTGTGCAAGCCCGGAGGGGAGGAGCCGACACCCCTGTGCAAGCCCGGAGGGGAGGAGCCGACACCCCTGTGCAAGCCTTTTACCCTTGGGAAGAATCTCCCCAAAACTGAAATTCCTATTACAGGGGGTGCCTAAAATCTGAACTGTATCTTAGTGGGAAATTTTAGGGAGACAATCACACCAGCAAGAAATTACATTTATGGGTGTGGTCTGCACACCAAAATGATGTAAAGAACACCTCCGGGTGGCCATATTGAATTTTACAGAACATTGTAGGTTTATTATTTTTTTCCCCACAAATGTGGAGTTACCCTTTAAGTAATCAGCAAGTACAGCCATGCCAAGGCAATGACTTTGGACCTTCAGTGATAACGGTCCGACAACCAAAGGACAGCTCATAACAGAATGGAAACAATCAGTCCGTGTTGGGAGGAGATCTGCCCCCAATGAACCTGTAGAGGGGGGTGAACACAGATTTCCCCCCCCCCCCACCTTACCTGAACAGAGGGTCCGGGAATCTCTGCAAGGCTTGGGTTACACAGGAGGACCCCCGTCTCCTCCCGGTACGCGGCCCCCAGCCTCTCACACCCGTTCCTTGTGAACATTATTGATCCTCCAGCTGGCAGGTATGAGGCCTGGCTGGGCTCCCGACACTTGGTGTGGTAATGTACACAAAGCTGGGGCCCGGCATGAATCAACACCAGCTGGGGCCCGCACCGGCATGAATCAACACCAGCTGGATGTCCCCCAGTGCTGCATTAACGAGGTGCCGCGAGATCCCTCACCGCGCTCAGCAAGTCTAGGAAACCCTAATAAATAGTTCCACTTTGCTGAGACGTTCTTTCCTTACGGCAAACCCGCGGTAACTGAGGGGATGGCGGTAATTGCCGAAACCTTGTTCAATGTACCTGGTGGGGCTTCAGACTCTGCAGTCAGGGAGACGTTTTATGAAGTGCGTCAATCAGGTGCTACAAGCGAGGAGGGACCAATCGCTGGATTTAGGACTGATGGTGGAATCATCTGCTGGGCACCATTCTTACCGCTTCCTACATGTATAGCAACCAATAAAAAGAAGATTGTTGTACTCGTCGGAAAATCTCGTTCTCTTGGGGTCCATTAAGTGGTACTGGGATTCTTAAACTTGAATCTGGCAAACAAACTATCAACCATCCTAAGATAACCCCTCGGAATCTCAGCATGCCTCACTTCTATAGTAAAGCTGTACCGAGAGCAAGGTCCGAAACAGAGGGGTGGGACATGTGTCCTCCAATGGACGCCAAGAAAACATTTTTATGGCGAGTTCCAAAATTCAAATTTTCTTCTTCATCTATTGAGAGACACAGGAACTCTTACACCTTCAGCACGTCCAAAGGCAGTCCAAGTGTGGTCAATGCACCAATCACCAGTAGGCTCAAGGTAACAACAGAGAACTAGGGAATCCCTTCAGCTCAAAGAGCTACCTGAAGGACGCCTGTGCAAGCCGGGAGGGGAGGAGCCGCCACGCGCCTGTGCAAGCCGGGAGGGGAGGAGCCGCCACGCGCCTGTGCAAGCCGGGAGGGGAGGAGCCGCCACGCGCCTGTGCAAGCCGGGAGGGGAGGAGCCGCCACGCGCCTGTGCAAGCCGGGAGGGGAGGAGCCGCCACGCGCCTGTGCAAGCCGGGAGGGGAGGAGCCGCCACGCGCCTGTGCAAGCCGGGAGGGGAGGAGGAGCCGCCACGCGCCTGTGCAAGCCGGGAGGGGAGGAGCCGCCACGCGCCTGTGCAAGCCGGGAGGGGAGGAGCCGCCACGCGCCTGTGCAAGCCGGGAGGGGAGGAGCCGCCACGCCTGTGATTGAAGTCAACACGTCAATCACAAATAGGCCCAAGGTACCAGGGAAATGGGGAATCCTTGCAGTCTAAAGAGCCTCCCGAAGGACCTTACACCTGGAGATGATGGCATCGGATGAAGCAGGAACGTCCACCGAGAAGAACGCGGGGAACGTGTGAACGGAAGACGCACAGCAGACGATTCTACAGCTCTCTACATGTAGAGGAACCAAAAGAATAGAAGTTTTTTTTGTACTCTTAAAATCCTTTTCTTGGGATCCACCGAGTGGCACGGGAAGTCTTCTACTGTTGGGTTATACCGCTGCCTACAGCGACTCACTAGAATCCACCTATAATTGAATCCTCACCAACTCTTTAGAGAAGAAATATAAAAAAAAAAAAAAAAAAAAAGTTTCTTTGGAACTATAAAAAATATGACTTTACCTGTAATCTGGTATTTTTTCTGCCAGACCGAAATCCGCCACCACAGCAGAATATCCGTTCTCGTCACTTTTAATGAGGCAGTTCTGGAAGAGAGCAGACGGTAATGAGCCGCCATTCACCTTGTTACAGGAATTTAACCTGGAAAGGAAATCGCGCTCAGAAGACTAAGAGCAGCTGGCACATCAACCAACATAAATGGGTATTATACATGTAAACCCAAAGTGCAGCACACATTTCAACAACAATCATCAAAAGCAAATCATATAACTGAGTTGGTTCTAACGCTCGTGACGTCATCGCGCACCTCGATGCCAGGGCGCTTGTGACGTCATCACAACGCACCTCGATGCCAGGGCGCTTGTGACGTCATCACGCACCTCGATGCCAATGCCAGGGCGCTTGTGATGTCATCACGCACTTCGATGCCAGGGCGCTTGTGACGTCATCACGCACCTCGATGCCAGGGTGCTTGTGACGTCATCACGCACCTCGATGCCAGGGTGCTTGTGACGTCATCACGCACCTCGATGCCAGGGTGATTGTGACGTCACTCACCTCGATGCCAGGGGCATACCTGCTATGAGGCCTAAAGGTGACAAAAACTTGAATCTCAAAGACGACAGAAACCCAAATCACTAAAATCTGATTTAGTTAAATCAATCCCTGGTGATCCTGCCACGAAGATCCTTGTTCATACGCGTCCTGTTATAGGGTGACAACGTTTTGACCCTTTCTTCCAGCTGTGATCCTGCGTTGTCACCGCCTCACACAGGCTTCTCTGATGGGAGTCTACAAACGGCCATTTTGGCACACATTGCACAGACGTGGGCCGTTGCTTTCACCAACAAGAAACCTAAGGTGGCCATACAAAGACTTCCTATATTATAGATAAATACAATTCTATTGTTGTATTCTGTCAATCGACTTACAGTCCAGGAGCGCCATAGGACAGGGCGATCGATCAGACAACACATTACAGGCGCACCTCGGTTTACGAATTTAATTCGTTCTGCAGGACTTTTCGTATAGTGAAACATTTGTAAAGCGAAATGCGGTTTCCCATAGGAATGCACTGAAAACCAATTAATCCGTTCCGGAGGTCAGAAAAAGTAAACGCTACTAAGATAATGTAGGAGTGATTGGATCGAGTCATGCGGGATCTCCGTAGTGACAACTATGTGTTAATATTTCAGTTGTCAGCGGGGATCCCCATTGACAGCTGAATATAAAAGAATTGCTGGCAATTAAAAAAAAAAATAAATAAATGGTGTGGGGTCCCCCCTCCCATCCACACCAAGCCCTTCCGATCTGGAATGGATTTTGAGGAAAACTCCCTCGCCAAAACCATTTTTTTTCCTGATTTGGGGTCCCCCCCAAACTCCATACCAGACCCTTATCCAAGCATGTAGCCTGGCAGGTCAGGAAGGGGGGGGGGCGGGGGTTTCATGTCCCCGTGTTGATCGGGACAAGGGCCTCTTCCCCACAAACCTGGCAAGTGGTTGTGGGGGGCCTGCGGACAGGGGGCATATTGGAATCTGGAACATTTAACAAGGGGGCCCCCGGATCCCACCCCTCCCCCCATGTGAATGAGTATGGGGTACATGGTACTGCTACTCATTCACAAAAAAGTGTAGTGTGAAAAAAGACAGGACACGATCTTTGACAAGCAAAAGAATAAAAAGTCCCCCGCAGCAGATCCAACGTCAATCACGATGTCCGCCTTTCTCGCCTGCCTGGGACCGGGTATTAGCCTCTTACAGCTGCCTGTACAGCAGAGCTCAAAGTGTGAGAGGAAGAAGCAGCACCGGGAATCATTTGAATGTTGTGCTGACAAGAAGCACACTGATAGGAGGAGACAGCAGAGTGACAGAGCAATGAGCTCATCGCTGTGCTGCTTCTCCTTTCACTGCCCAATCACAGGTGGTGGGCGGGTCCAGCAATGGAATTCGGTGCGCACAAAGTGGAGGAATCGAGGAATATATTTAAACAAAAGTTCAGCTTTAGAAGAAACGCAGTTTTTTTTCCCGCCGGTTCGACCTTTTTTCACCAATCCATCCACCTTTCACCGCTTTTTCTGTTTAGGACACCCAGACTTTCCATGTGAAACATCGGGGGGGGGGGGGGGGGGGTTGAACGGGGAACCCATCGGAGTTTCATCTGTCACGGCTGACCGCCTGCCGCTGACCGCCTGCCGCACGGGACGCAGAAAGGTGGAGGTGACTAATACACAGGATTGATGATCTCTGTGCGCGCGGTGTGGGAATACACAGAGCCTCTTGTGTCCGCCAGCCGGGGAACATCTGCTCCCGCCGCCAGACACTGAAATCATACAGAACCCTTTATATACCTCGCTGGATGTTTATTGGGTGGCTACACAAAGCGCAGGGGGAGGGGTGAGGGGCGCTCGTGTGCCGTGACAGCCGGGGATTAGGTGAACGCAGCGTGACCGCAGAGACGCTCCGCCTCCCAAGGAGGATAAACCATGCGCAGCGGCCAGGCGGCTTCACGCCAGAATTGTCCTGTACTTCCAGGACATCGAACACCCAGCTGAGGAGAGAACGAACCGCCATGACACAGGATCCTGATGGGACCGATGCAGTGATCTCTGTACTGCGCTGCGGTATATGTCAGAGATATACATGTATAATAATAATAGGGTGTGACTGGGGGCGGGGACATTTACCAGAGGAGCTTACAGTCTAATGTCCCCTCCCCCACAGTCCCATCAGTCTCTGTACCAGAGGAGCTTACACTCTAATGTCCCCTCCCCCCCAGTCACATCAGTCTCTGTACAGAGGAGCTTACACTCTAATGTCCCCTCCCCCCCAGTCACATCAGTCTCTGTACAGAGGAGCTTACGCTCTAATGTCCCCTCCCCCACAGTCACATCAGTCTCTGTACATTAGAGCTTAAACGCTAAAGACTGATGGGACTGTGGGGGAGGGGACATTAGAGGGTAAGCTCCTCTGGTACAGAGACTGATGGGACTGTGGGGGAGGGGACATTAGAGGGTAAGCTCCTCTGGTACAGAGACTGATGGGACTGTGGGGGAGGGGACATTAGAGGGTAAGCTCCTCTGGTACAGAGACTGATGGGACTGCGGGGGAGGGGACATTAGAGTGTAAGCTCCTCTGGTACAGAGACTGATGTGACTGCGGGGGAGGGGACATTAGACTGTAAGCTCCTCTGGTACAGAGACTGATGTGACTGTGGGGGAGGGGACATTAGAGCGTAAGCTCCTCTGTACAGAGACTGATGGGACTGTGGGGGAGGGGACATTAGAGTGTAAGCTCCTCTGGTACAGAGACTGATGTGACTGTGGGGGAGGGGACATTAGAGGGTAAGCTCCTCTGGTACAGAGACTGATGGGACTGTGGGGGAGGGGACATTAGAGCGTAAGCTCCTCTGTACAGAGACTGATGGGACTGTGGGGGAGGGGACATTAGAGCGTAAGCTCCTCTGTACAGAGACTGATGGGACTGTGGGGGAGGGGACATTAGAGTGTAAGTTCCTCTGGTACAGACACTGATGGGACTGTGGGGGAGGGGACATTACAGTGTAAGCTCCTCTGGTACAGAGACTGATGTGACTGTGGAGGAGGGGACATTAGAGTGTAAGCTCCTCTGTACAGAGACTGATGGGACTGTGGGGGAGGGCACATTACAGTGTAAGCTCCTCTGGTACAGACTGATGGGACTGTGGGGGAGGGGACATTAGTGTGAGCTCCTCTGGTACAGAGACTGATGGGACTGTGGGGGAGGGGACATTAGAGTGTAAGCTCCTCTGGTACAGAGACTGATGGGACTGTGGGGGGAGGGGACATTACAGTGTAAGCTCCTCTGGTACAGAGACTGATGGAACTGGCTTAGACCAACATGGGACCATCCAAATTTTCACCCCCACCCTACCAACTTCAAATAATCATTCTCAGGGCGGGTTTCTGGATGGTGACCACAGTGGACTGTGTCTGTGTAATGTGTGCTGAGATGGCCACTTGTCCCCATCAGAAGCCTGTATGACAGGGTGACAACGCAGGAGTACAAATGGGAGTCAAGAAGAGCGTTGTCACCCTATAACAGGAAGTGACTGAGCAAGGACCTTCAAGGTGGGATCACCAGGGATTTTTTTTACTGGCATCTCCAGATTTAAATATATTAATCACTTCTGAAACATCATTAACACATTAAAGGTTCTACAGGTGAAACGTGAAAAATGAGAATCTGGTGCATTTGTTGATTGATTTCAGTGCAGCAACTTAAAAGGTGACACTAATATATGAGACTCATTCCATGCAAAGCAAGATAGTTCCAGCCGTGATTTGTCATCATTGTGATGATTATGGCTTACAGCTCATGAAAACCCCAAATCCACAATCTCAGAAAATGAGAATATTCCATGCAATCAATAAAACACGGATTGTACATAGAACAATATCGCACCTCTGAAAAGTAGAAGCTGCATATGTACTCAGTACTTGGTTGGGGCCCCTTTTGCAGCAATTACTGCCTCAATGCGGCGTGGCATGGAAGCTATCAGCCTGTGGCACTGCTGAGGTGTTATGGAAGACCAGGAAGCTTCAATAGCGGCCTTCAGATCTTCTGCATTGTTCCGTCTCATGTCTCTCATCTTTCTCTTGGCAATGCCCCATAGATTCTCTATGGGGTTCAGGGCAGGCGAGTTTGCTGGCCAATCAAGCACAGTAATCCCACGGTCATTGAACCAGGTTTTGGTGCTTTTGGCAGTGTGGACGGGGCCAAGTCCTGCTGGAAAATGAAGTCAGCGTCCCCATAAAGCTGGTCTGTGGAAGGAAGCATGAAGTGCTCCAACATATCCTGGTAGACGGCTGCGGTGACCCTGGACTTCATGAAGCACAGTGGACCAACACCAGCAGATGACATGGCTCCCCAAATCCACACAGACTGTGGAAACTTCACACTGGACTTCAAGCATCTTGCAGTGTGTGCCTCTCCATTCTCCCTCCGTACTCGGGGTCCTTGAGCCTCTCCATTCTTCCTCCATACTCGGGGTCCTTGGGCCTCTCCATTCTCCCTCCGTACTCGGGGTCCTTGGGCCTCTCCATTCTCCCTCCGTACTCGGGGTCCTTGGGCCTCTCCATTCTCCCTCCGTACTCGGGGTCCTTGGGCCTCTCCATTCTCCCTCCGTACTCGGGGTCCTTGGGCCTCTCCATTCTCCCTCCGTACTCGGGGTCCTTGGGCCTCTCCATTCTCCCTCCGTACTCGGGGTCCTTGGGCCTCTCCATTCTCCCTCCGTACTCGGGGTCCTCGGGCCTCTCCATTCTCCCTCCGTACTCGGGGTCCTCGGGCCTCTCCATTCTCCCTCCGTACTCGGGGTCCTCGGGCCTCTCCATTCTCCCTCCGTACTCGGGGTCCTCGGGCCTCTCCATTCTCCCTCCGTACTCGGGGTCCTCGGGCCTCTCCATTCTCCCTCTGTACTCGGGGTCCTTGGGCCTCTCCATTCTCCCTCCTTACTCGGGGTCCTTGGGCCTCTCCATTCTTCCTCCTTACTGGGGGTCCTTGGGCCTCTCCATTCTTCCTCCATACTCGGGGTCCTTGGGCCTCTCCATTCTTCCTCCATACTCGGGGTCCTTGGGCCTCTCCATTCTTCCTCCATACTCGGGGTCCTTGGGCCTCTCCATTTTTCCCCCCCATACTCGGGGTCTTTGGTTTCCAAATGAGATGCAAAAGTTGCTCTCATCAGAAAAGAGGACTTTGGACCACTGAGCAGCAGACCAGGTCTGTTTTTCTTTAGCCCAGGTAAGACGCTTCTGACGTTGTTTGTTGCTCAGGAGCGGCTTGACAAGAGGAATACGACATTTGAAGCCCATGTCCAGGATCCGTCTGTGTGTGGTGGCTCTTGATGCACTGACTCCAGCCTCAGTCCACTCCTTGTGAAAGTCCCCAACACTTTTGAATGGTCTTTTCCTGACAATCCTCTCCAGGCTGCGGTCATCCCTGCTGATTGTGCACCTTTTTCTTCCACACTTTTCCCTTCCACATAACTTCCTATCAATGTTCTTTGATACAGCACTTTGGGAACATCCAACTTCTTCTGCAATTACCTTCTGAGGCTTTCCCTCCTTATGGAGGGTGTCAGTGATGGTGTCAGGTCAGCAGTCTTTCCCATGATTGTGATTCCTACTGAACCAGACTGAGAGACCATTTAAAGGCTCAGGAACCCTTTGCAGGTGTTATGTCTGAATGAGCTGATTAGAGTGGGACACTTTGAGCCGAGATTATTCCACCTTTTCACAATATTCTCATTTTCTGAGATTGTGGATTTGGGGTTTTCATGAGCTGTAAGCCATAATCATCACAATGATGACAAATCACGGCTGGAACTATCTTGCTTTGCATGGAATGAGTCTCATATATTAGTTTCACCTTTTAAGTTGCTGCACTGAAATAAATCAACTTTTACACCAGATTCTCATTTTTCGAGTTTCACCTGTATAGGTGTTCGGTGATTGGGCTGGCATCTTCTTTAGGGTGAAGGACAACAGAAACCATTCAGCCTCTGCCTCCACCATGGCAATAATGAGCCCTACAGACATGGAACCCACCTTAGATGTGAGGTCACGGTGGAAGATCCCCTTGGAGTGAAGGTATGCCAGTCCCAGAGCCACATCCAGCCCAAGCTTCACCCGGACCGTCCACGCCAAGTGCTGGTTGCTGTCCAGAAGCTGCTCCAGATTTCCGCTGTTAATGTACTGAAAGACAACAGGCTCTCGGTTAGTACAGAGGGGGACGCACGGACAGAGGGGGACGCACGGACAGAGGGGGACGCATTTACAAAGCATTCTCAGGAGGCAGTCAGTCTATTATAGGACAAGACCGTGTGACCATGGAGGTTATGGTGAGACAGGACTACAAGAAACTGAAAAGTCCTTCAACCGAGGTCCAATCACGGGAAATGAGGCCAGGCCATTGCGAGGGTTGGAGGACGGAGATCCAATTCCCCAACTCTGTGTTCTTTATTTTCTATCAGACCCGCTGACCATTGCCCCTCGAGGACCCTTTCAGATAACCCCCTGGTCGGTACCCCAAGGCAGCCCCCCTCCTAGATGCCTCATGAACACAAACCTCTGACCCCGCTGCCTCATAAGGGAGCCTATAGTAAGAAAAACATATTACTGGAAAGGAGACCCTTTAGATGAGGAGTGCGAAGAAGTCCAATTGGACACTTGGAGGGGCATCTCCCAAACCAGACAAATATCTCACATATCTTCCACCTGTACAATTAACTTGGTTTTGGTCTCCAAACTGTGGCCCTTGTGACGCTTGCTTTTATCTGGCCCTTGGGCACCCCTTCCACTCAGTGAAATGGGGCACTATTCCTCCCGCTGACACCAATGATGGGGCACTATTCCTCCCACTGACACCAATGATGGGGCACTATTCCTCCCACTGACACCAATGATGGGGCACTATTCCTCCCACTGACACCAATGATGGGGCACTATTCCTCCCACTGACACCAATGATGGGGCACTATTCCTCCCACTGACACCAATGATGGGGCACTATTCCTCCCACTGACACCAATGATGGGGCACTATTCCTCCCACTGACACCAATGATGGGGCACTATTCCTCCCACTGACACCAATGACGGGGCACTATTCCTCCCACTGATACCAATGACGGGGCACTATTCCTCCCACTGACACCAATGACGGGGCACTATTCCTCCCACTGACACCAATGATGGGGCACTATTCCTCCCACTGACACCAATGATGGGGCACTATTCCTTCCACTGACACCAATGATGGGGCACTATTCCTGCCACTGACACCAATGATGGGGCACTATTCCTGCCACTGACACCAATGATGGGGCACTATTTCTGCCACTGACACCAATGATGGGGCACTATTCCTTCCACTGACACCAATGATGGGGCACTATTCCTGCCACTGACACCAATGATGGGGCACTATTCCTCCTACTGACACCAATGATGGGACACTATTCCTCCCACTGACACCAATGATGGGGCGCTACTTCCTGACACCAATATTGGGGCACTATTCCTCCCACTGACACCAATGATGGGGCACTATTCCTCCTCCTGCTGACCACAGGTGCTGTATAATTTTTTTTATACTCTCATCAACCACCAAACTGGAGACATTTTCAACTCCCAATTGCCACAGTGCAGCCCACCTACAGTCTGAGGGATATAAAACGGTCCCTTTGTTTACAGACCCCTGTTCTAGATCCCTGTGAAGGTTCTCATTTATCCAGGTCATGATATATCTAGTAGCAGTTGATCACAATCAACATAACTTGTTCTGTAATGCTGAAGGTATCGTAGCTTCTCCAGGGTCATAGGAACTGCGACACGTCTTCAACATCACAGAACAAGTCCAGTCGGATGTGACAACTAAAGTATCCGTCTACATCCCAGTGGCCAACAGGAACGTTCTTCCACCATATTTGGTCTTCTCATCTCCAGCAATATTGGGAACACTTTTATATACAGTGAAGGAAATGTGTATTTGCTCCCCTGCTGATGCTGAATGTTCGCCCCTCACACAGAAATGATCGGTCTAACAATGGAATGTTTGCCCCTCACACAGAAACGATCGGTCTAACAATGGAATGTTCGCCCCTCACACAGAAATGATCGGTCTAACAATGGAATGTTCGCCCCTCACACAGAAACGATCGGTCTAACAATGGAATGTTCGGTGTAACACTGAGAGACAGAATACAACAACAAATTCAGCAGAAATGCGTCTAACAAATGATGACGGATCTGCATGTTCATGAGGGAAAGAAGGATTTGCTCCCCTTCACAAAACATGACTTGGTGGCCAATCCCTTGTTGGCAATCACAGAGGTCAGACGTTTCCTGGAGTTGGCCCCCAGGTTCGCACACATCTCAGAAGGGAGTTTGGCCCACTCCTCTTGGCAGATCCTCTCCAAGTCATTAAGGTTTGGTGGCTGACGTTCGGCAACTCGAACTTTCAGCTCCTCCACAGATTTTCCATCGGATGAAGGTGTGGAGACTGGCTAGGCCACTCCAGGACCTTAATGTGCTTCTTCTTGAGCCGCTCCTTTGTTGCCTTGGCCGTGTGTTTTGGGTCATTGTCATGCTGGAACACCCATCCACCACCCATTTCCAATGCCCTGCCTGAGGGAAGAAGGTTCTCACCCAAGATTTGAGGGTACATTGCCCCGTCCATCGTCCCTTTGATGCGGTGCAGTTGTCCTGTCCCCTTAGCAGAAAAACACCCCCGAAGCAGAATGTTTCCACCACCATGTTTCACAGTTGGGATGGTGTTCTTGGGGTTATAGGCAGCATTCCTCCTCCTCCAAACACGGCGAGTTGAGTTGATGCCAAAGAGCTGGATTTTGGTCTCCTCTGACCACAACACTTCCCACCAGTCCTCCTCGGCATCATTCAGATGGTCAGTGGCAGACTTCAGACGGGCCTGGACATGGGCTTTCTTGAGCAGAGGGACCGTGCGGGCACTGCAGGATTTCAGTCCTTGTCGGCGTAGTGTGTTACCAATTGTTTTCTTGGTGACTGTGGTCCCAGCTGCCTGGAGATCATTGACAAGATCCTCACGTGTAGTTCTGGGATGATTCCTCACTGTTCTCATGATCATTGACACTCCACGAGGTGAGATCTTGCATGGTGCACCAGACCTAGGGAGACTGACACTTGTTTTGTGTTTCTTCCATTTGTGAATGATTGCACCAACTGTTGTCACCTTCTCACCAGGCTGCTTGGCCATAGTTTGGTAGCCCAGTCCAGCCTTGTGTAGGTCTACCATCTTGTCCCTGACATCCTTGGACAGCTCTTTGGTCTTTGCCATGGTGGAGAGTTTGGAATCTGATGGTTTGATGGCTCCTGTGGACAGGTGTCTTTTATACAGGTAACACAATGAGATTAGCAGCACTCCCTTTAAGAGACTGCTTCTAATCTCAGCTTGTTACCTGTATGAGAGACACCTGGGAGCCAGAAATCCTGCTGAATGATAGGGGATCCAATCCTTCTTTCCCTCATGAACATGCAGATCCGTCATCATTTGTTAGACGCATTTCTGCTGAATTTGTTGTTGTATTCTGTCTCTCAGTGTTACACCGAACATTCCATTGTTAGACCGATCGTTTCTGTGTGAGGGGCGAACATTCCATTGTTAGACCGATCATTTCTGTGTGAGGGGCAAACATTCCATTGTTAGACCGATCATTTCTGTGTGAGGGGCAAACATTCCATTGTTAGACCGATCATTTCTGTGTGAGGGGCAAACATTCCATTGTTAGACCGATCATTTCTGTGTGAGGGGCGAACATTCCATTGTTAGACCGATCATTTCTGTGTGAGGGGCGAACATTCCATTGTTAGACCGATCATTTCTGTGTGAGGGGCGAACATTCCATTGTTAGACCGATCATTTCTGTGTGAGGGGCGAACATTCCATTGTTAGACCGATCATTTCTGTGTGAGGGGAGAACATTCCATTGTTAGACCGATCATTTCTGTGTGAGGGGCGAACATTCCATTGTTAGACCGATCATTTCTGTGTGAGGGGCGAACATTCCATTGTTAGACCGATCATTTCTGTGTGAGGGGCGAACATTCAGCATCAGCCGGGGAGCAAATACACATTTCCTGCACTGTATGAAGGGTTCCTCTGTAGTCCTAAACCTCAGCCTCCACAGCATTCTTCATCATCTAGATCAGCCTCTCTCAGCCTTTTCAACACAGAGGAACCCTTGAAATAACTTTCTGGTGTCAGGGAACCCCGGCTAAGAATTGCTGCATCTACAACTGCGGATACATCAGTGTGGTGGTCGGTGGGCAGAATGCACCTTACGGAGAGTTAAAGATCCCTGGTGTCAGTGGGAACGTCTCAGAGCCTTCATGCACACGGGATGTTTTTATAGCGGCTGTTTTTGGTTTGAGACGGTTTTTTCTACAGCCAGTAACCCCCCCCCCCCCCCCGGCATGTTATCCTATGTGTCCATGCATACAGACTGGAGTCAACGTTTTTTTTGGGCGGGGAAAAAAAAACACTCCAGGACTAGCGGGTTTCTAGAGGAGTTTTGTAGCTCTAAAAATGCTCTAGCGCTGAAAAACATGGTAAATCGCGTCAAACCAGCGTTTTTTGGACTTTTTCTGACCAAAACATTACCAACGTTATTAACCACCTCCTGCCTGCCCTATAGTACAATGACGGGCGCAAGGCGGTTCTCTCGTTCTGATAGGACGTCATACGACGTCCTTCCATTCTCACCGCACATGTGCGGCTCAGGGAGCGCGCAGCGCGGCGATCGCCGGTGCACTGTGTCCCTCGGACACAGCGGATCACGGAGAGAGCGGAAGATGTCGGCTCGGTCATGTGATCAGCTGTGTCCAATCACAGCTGATCACATGTAAACACGGAAATGCCAGTTATCAGCATTTCTCTCCTCTCTAGCGGTCACGCTGACAGAGGAGAGCCGGTAATCGGCTTTCCGTGGAGGGGACATCTACACTGATCATCAGGGCACTGATGATCAGTGTAGCCCCAGCAGTGCCACCTGTCAGTGTCCATCAGTGCCAGCAGTCAGTGCCCATCAGTGCCACATCAATGCCACATATCAGTGCCCATCTGAGCTGCCAGTCAGTGCCACCTATCAGTGCCATATATCAGTGCTGCCTTTCAGTGCCCATCAGTGATGCCTGTCAATGCCCATCAGCGCAACCTACCAGTGCCTCATCAGTGTCCATCAGTGCCGCCTATCAGTGCCCATCACTGCAGCCTCATTTGAGCACAGCAGTGAAGAAGAAAAATCACTTATTTACAAAATTGTATAACAAAAACTAAAAACTTTTTTTTTTTTTTTTCTTCAAAATTTTCAGTGGTTTTTGGTTTAAGAAAAAATAAAAATCCACCAAAAGAAAGCTCTGTCTCAAAAAAAAATGATAAAAATTTCATATGGGTACAGTGTTGCATGACCGCACAATTGTCATTCAAAGTGTGACAGCGCTGAAAGCTGGAAATTGGCCTGGGCAGGAAGGGGGTAGAAGTGCCCCGGGGGCAGGAAGGGGGTAGAAGTGCCCCGGGGGCAGGAAGGGGGTAGAAGTGCCCCGGGGGCAGGAAGGGGGTAGAAGTGTCCTGTAGGCAGGAAGGGGGTAGAAGTGCCCCGGGGGGCAGGAAGGGGGTAGAAGTGCCCCGGGGGGCAGGAAGGGGGTAGAAGTGCCCTGTAGGCAGGAAGGGGGTAGAAGTGCCCGGTAGGCAGGAAGGGGGTAGAAGTGCCCGGTAGGCAGGAAGGGGGTAGAAGTGTCCTGTAGGCAGGAAGGGGGTAGAAGTGCCCTGTAGGCAGGAAGGGGGTAGAAGTGCCCGGTAGGCAGGAAGGGGGTAGAAGCGCCCGGTAGGCAGGAAGGGGGTAGAAGTGCCCGGTAGGCAGGAAGGAGGTAGAAGTGCCCGGTAGGCAGGAAGGAGGTAGAAGTGCCCGGTAGGCAGGAAGGGGGTAGAAGTGTCCTGTAGGCAGGGAGGGGGTAGAAGTGCCCTGTAGGCTAGTGGTTAAATCGCCCCGTGTGCATGGAGCCTGAGAGGCAGAAATTGCCCATTGCTCAAGGAACCCCTAGCAACCTCTGGGAGGAACCCTAGGGATCCATGGAACCCTGATCTAGAAACGGAATGCTACTTCCACATGAATATTTATTCATAGGCCGGAAACTTGTTGCAGAAACCCGGATACGGGCATCACCACTTACACGGAACAATGGAAAACTGGGATGAATAAAATCAGCCTTAAATAAAAACTGATTTGTGACCAGAGGAGCTGCCCAACTAAACTATTGAAGGTTTTGGAGGAACCGGCACGCCAAGTCATCCACCTATCTTCCCTTGGGTGAGGACAGCGTCTCTGAGATACTGACCCTGTAGATGTGCGTGTTCCTCGCCTCTGAGCAACAGAAACATGAGAATCACACGGGACAGGAGGACACCTACAATAGGTTTTCTTTATAACCACATTAAATATGTTCCTGAAGACCCTTTTAGATAAGTGACCACATGATGGACTACAGTTCTACTTTCCTGAGTATGATCAGCCTGGTTGGTTCGGAATTTATTGACCGTTTTCTATATTTTATACAGGACTTCAGCTGGGTAAGGACCATTACTGGACTCCTAATATAGACAATTGTCAGTACTTGGGTATATTCTGTGCTATATCTGCAACGTATTGTTGATGGACCACAAGCACATCTCTCTGATGAAGGCAGTCCGCCCCGAAACATGTTAGTGGAGGTGCTCCATCCCCCACATGACAGCATTGGTCCTTTGCATCCTCCTACTTTTGGAGGACAAATTTGTAGCGTCTCCCCATAGAATCTGCCGATGTCTCTTCAGGACATTTCCTTCTTTATTCTCGTCCTCTCCTGATGCTGACCTGGTTTCTGCCGGACACGGCTTCTCCTGGTTACAGGCCGTGATCCAAGCCTCTGTTTGTAATCGCAACTTCTGTAACAAGTTTCACTTCCTCAAAATCAATGTATCCACAACCGAGCTCATAATACATCCTCCCCCTCGTGGCCCTTCCCCTGACTTCTCTGTCAAAATCAACGGCTCAACTATCAACCTGCCCCCCCATGCCAGGGTGCGAGGGGTAATCCTGGACTCTCCTTTCAGCCCCCACACCCAATCACTGTCCAAAGCTTGCCACCTCAGCCTCTGTAAACGTCCCTTGTAATAGAAATATGCATGACAGGTCCTCTTTAAGAAGAGACCCCAAATCTCTCCTTTACCTTTAAAAAAGCAAAAGATCAAAACATTTTTTTTTTAACCTTTGCTTTAAAAGAGAAAAAAAAATGTGTTTACGTCATGACGTCGCTCCAGTCCTCTATCATGATAGAGGAAACAAAAGACCATAGAGTCTTTCATCACCGCCATCTTGAGGTGGCTGCACCATTGAATCGTTAATGGTAAGCCCAAGAAGTGGCGAAAAACACCAAGGCCCCTCCCCTCCCCTGTGGCAGAAAGCAATCCAGTGGCTCAAGAGCCGTCCACGGATAAAACCGGTACCACGGTTATGGCCGATGTCTCCAGTAAACCACTTGAAAACTGCAACGTTTACATACGTACAGTTGCAAGAAAAAGTATGTGAACCCCTTGGGATTACGTGGAGTTTTGCATGAATTGGGCATAAAATGTGCTCTGAACGTCATCTAAGTCACAACAATAGAAGAACACAGTCTGCTGAACATAATACTACACAAACATTAGATGTTGCCATGGTTTAACTGCACATAACATGTAAACATTCACAGTGCAGGGAGGAAAAAGTATGTGAGGCCCTAGCTTAATGACTTCTCCCAGAGCTAATTGGAGCCAGGAGTGAGCCAACCTTGACTCCAATCAGTGTGATGATATTGGATGTGTTGCTGACAGCTGTCCTGCCCTTAAAAAACACACATCTGTTTTGGGTTTACTGGTTTCAAGAAGCACTGTCTGATGTGAACCAAGCCTTGCAGAAAAGAGCTCTCAGAAGACCTACGATCAAGAATTGTTGACTTGCATGAAGCTGGAAAGGGTTACAAAAGTATCTCCAAAAGCCTTGATGTTCCTGTGTCCACGGTAAGACAGACTGTCTACAAATGGAGAAAGTTTAGCACTGCTGCTACTCTCCCTAGGCGCGGTCGTCCTGTAAAAATGACTGCAAGAGCACAGCGCAGAATGCTGCATGAGGTAAAGAAGAATCCCAGAGTGTCAGCTAAAGACCTACAGAAATCTCTGGCACATGCTAACATTTTTGTTGACACATCTACAATAAGGAAAACATAAAACAAGAATGGAGTACATGGGAGGACACCACGGAGGAAGCCATTGCTGTCCAAAAAGAATATTGCAGCACGATTGAAGTTTGCAAAAGAGCACCTGGATGTTCCACAGCACTACTGGCAGAATATACTGTGGACAGATGAAACCAAGATTGAGTTGTTTGGGAAGAACACACAACACTATGTGTGGAGAAAAAAAGGCCCAGCACACCAACATCAAAACCTCATCCCCACTGTGAAACATGGCGGAGGGAGCATCATGGTTTGGGGCTGCTTTGCTGCCTCAGGGCCTGGACGGATTGTTATCATTGATGGGAAATGAATTCCAGAGTTTATCAAGACATTTTGCAGGAAAACGTACGACCATCTGTCCGCCAACTGAAGCTCCGCAGAGGATGGGTGATGCAACAGGACAATGACCCAAAGCATACAAGTCATTCAACAAAACAATGGCTGCAACAGCACAGAATACGCCTTCTGGAGTGGCCCAGTCAGAGTCCTGACCTCAACCCCATTGAAATGCTGTGGCATGACCTTAAGAGAGCGATTCACACCAGACATCCCAAGAATATTGCTACACTGAAACAGTTTTGTGAAGAGGAGTGGTCCAAAATGACTCCAGATCGTTGTGCAGGTCTGATCTGCAACTACAGGAAACGTTTGGTTGAGGTTATTGCTGCCAAAGGAGGGTCAACCAGTTATTAAGTCCAAAGGTTCACATACTTTTTCCTCCCTGCACTGTGAATGTTTACATGTTGTGTGCAATTAAACCATGGCAACATCTAATGTTTGTGTAGTATTATGTTCAGCAGACTGTGTTCTTCTATTGTTGTGACTTAGATGACGTTCAGAGCACATTTTATGCCCAATTCATGCAAAACTCCACGTAATCCCAAGGGGTTCACATACTTTTTCTTGCAACTGTATTGAGGTCAGGTGGTTAAATTATGTATTAGGCCCGCGTCGCACAGAGGCGTTTTTTGGTGTTTTGCGCAGAAATGCGCTACAGTCCATCTAACATGGAGTCCTATGGGACTCATTCTCTTCTATGCTTTTTTAGCCGCTGTGGTTTTGGAAAGGGTCAGGGACTTTTTTTTTTTTAAAGGCAAAATGGTGCGTTTCTGGCTGAACAGACTTTAATGGAGAAGCTGAAGACAGACACATAGTGCGTTTTTGACATTTTTTTTTTTTGGCCAATTTGTTGTTGGGCAGATTAAAAAATGCAAAAGCATACAAAAAAAAAAAAATGAAAAACAAAAACAGTACATGAATCCCAGAAGATCAGCAGTTTTTGAAATACTCAGACCAGTCCGTCCGGCACCAACAACCATGCCACGTTCAAAGTCGCTTAAATCCCCTTTCTTCCCCATTCTGCGGCTCGGTTTGAACATCAGAAAGTCGTCTTCACCACGTCTAGAGGTCTAAATGCATTGAGTTGCTGCCGTGTGATTGGCTGATCAGCAATTTGTGTTACCGAGCCATTGAACAGGTGGACCTCATGAAGTGGCCGGAGAGTGTAGAAGATCAATGGATTTAGACGATGGGGGAGATTTACTAAAAACTGGAGGGTCCAAAATCTGGTGCAGAGAAACCAATCAGCTTCCAGGCTTCACGAAAGAAGCCGATTGGCCGCCATGCACAGGTGCTCCAGATTCTGAGTGCTCCAGTCTTCGTAAATCTCCCCCAATATGTGTTTTTCCTGGAGTTCAGCTTTCTGAGCGATTCTAAGTCGGGGAACATGCGCACCAACTGACACAACGAATCAAACCATCACTTCCTGGCTGTACTTCTGGAGCCTTTGCGACATGGAACTCCGTATCACACGCAGCGATGGAACGTCCATCATCTCCACTTCTGCCCATTGTCCTCGGTGATGGGAATGGCGAGAAGTCACGTCTTTGTGTCGTATTGTGAAGCTATGGAGGGGAGGGTGAAGGTGCAAGAACATACCGCCAAAGAAAAAACAGAAGGGGGAAAAAACGC